CACAGCTGCACACCGCGATCCTGGCGATGGGAAAGCTGCGGGTGCAGGACTGCAGAGGGCTCAATATCGGGACATGAATAGATAGAATAGGGTTTGGGGTATATTCGGGTAAATCACGCGCCTGAGGCCCTACATCACGCTTTCAGGCTGGATTGGGCTTCGTAGGTCTCTAACGTGGGTCAGCTCCCAAATCACATAGCGACATGGTTCTTGAAGGACCTTGTGGTTTTGGAGGCCTTCCAGAAAGAGATCCTGGCAGACCTGAGCCGCATGCACACGAACTCCCTGCCTCCTGTCCTTGAGTCCTTCGCCCTGTGCTATGAGCAGCTCCGGTCAAGCGGCCAAGACTCAGAAGATAGCTCTGTGCATGAGGAGCGCGAGCTCTTCTTGGTGCAGCTCACCAGTCGCATGGCCAGGGAGCTCCGGCTTCTTCGGCCCCAGGATGCCAGCCGTGTGCTTTCTGCCATCGGACGCCTGGGACTCGTCGATCCCAAGTTGCTTTCGACGGCCGCCGCCCTGGTGCCTCCCCGCCTTGCAGCCTGCTCCGCGCCGGAAGTTCTGGCGCTGCTGGAGGCCTACGCAGCGGCCGGTAACAGGGACAGCTTCATGCTCCCCTGCCTTCGCAAAGCGCTGGTGCCCTTGCCGCACGCCTTAGAGGAGCGACTTCAAGAGTTGGACGATGCACAAATCGTGCAAGCGGCCAGCGCCTTCGCCTTGCTTGGTCACGCGCCGGGCCTCGTCGCACTGCTCGCCGTCCTCCGGGAGCCGTTTCAGCGGCGCAGCGCGGGGCACGGGGCTCGACGACGGGCTGCTACCACAGCAGACTCCGGAATTGAACAGACAGCACGGCTTTTGACCCCTGCTTGTCAGCTGGCCTTGGCCACATTGGTGTCCCTGCACCTCTCGGATTCTCAGACCTGGGCCGCCGCGGCTTCTGCAGTCATGCAGGGAGCTGCCAAAGAGGCCTCGAAGCATCAAGACGGTGCTTCCGATTCCCTCCTCAAAAAGCTGAAGCAGTCCTTGGAAATCGCCGAAGATCCTTGGAGGTCTGCAGGAAAGGTGTCCCTCTACTCCGGAAATGAGCTGGTCCTCGCCTGCCTGGGCTTCCCGAGGCACTCGGGTCGGGCTTTCTGGTATGAGGAGGTCTCCGGTTCAAAGATGGCGGAGGTGAGCCTCTCACTTCTCCCCGGCTTCCTGCGCCATGCGGCCGAGGCCGAGTCGGGAGAGACCCGGCGCGCACCGCTTCCATCTCTACGGAGCCTCCGGCCCACGAGTCGGGAGGAGAGCTCGGAGCTCTCCAAAGCCAGGGGAAGAGCCCAAGAGGTGCTCTTGGAGCGATTGACAGAGACAGAGCAGGGAGAGGAAGAGCTCCAGGAGCTGCCTCCCATGGTCATCGTGGCCCTCTTCCGATCTTTGGAGCTCATCAGCTCGGGGCCCTTCAGCGTTCAGCCGGAGGCGCAAGACTTGCAGGTGCCGCGGCAGCAAGTTTCTACCTACCCCAGATTCATCTCCGCAGAATGGGAGATAATTGGTAATCAAGAAGATCTGGAATTGTAATGTTATTATGAGGGGAAGTACAAAATAAACATGTATAGTAAAGGCGAGATATTGCTAACGATCTGACCCACACGATGATTCATGCTCATGAACCCAATCGTTCCATGATCAGTCGAAGCTTCAGTATGGCTAAGAAGAAATGCCATTCGTTAGGGCTCCTTGTCACTATTACAGTATTTACAGTCTACACCAAACCCTCTTCTGTTGATCAAGGGCCCCATATTATTCTGAAGGTCCTCCACCGAGCGACCGTTCCACTGCTGCAGCGCCTGGCTATGCTGGCGCAAGAGCAGCAGCTCAGCGCTAAGGCTGTCAGGGACTAACAACGGGAACAATAGCTCAATCGTAGGAATAGCACGAACAGTCAGACTAGTCATCATAGTAACAGCAACAATAACACTAAACCAAGTACCGATCACCCCACACCCCGGGCAGTGGTCCGTATTGAAGGAAAAATTGGATTTTCACAGGTTCGGAGGGTCGAGGAGAGACGGCTCAGAATGGGGTTTGGCGTCTCGTGGCTGTTGAAGATATTAGTGTTTCGAGTTTGCACACTCGCCTTGCTTGGGATGGGGAACTGTGCCACCGATGGTCAGGGCGTGTGAGCTTACGTTTCGAGTTTTGCGCTTCTGGGACGTTCCAACATCACTGCTCACTCCCGACAAGATCTGGAGTTCTTTACTGTCCCTGATAGTGAAAACAGCACCAATGCCGACGAACCGCCGAAAGCTGTCAGGAAGTAGCTACTTTGCTTTGATAACTGCGTGTCATCCCTTAGAGCGGGAGTCTGTGGGAGTATGCAGTGCAAGATAGGGCGATCGTGTAAAAGCAGGCTTCTGTCCGGTTGCGGTGAATACCAAGAGAGAGGACACTTTAAGGAGGTGCTTTCCAGCAGCACTAAGATGTTTGGTTACAATGGGGCTGCAGGGCTTTTTGCCCAGACATGTTTTTCGCTGCAGCCTGATGCATAAAGCCTCTCAAAGAAGGTCGGACGCTGCTTGTAGTTCTACAGGCAGAGTGGCTTGTAGAGGCTGTGACCCAGAGAACTTCCTACGCCCAATCGATGGAATTGGCATTCCAATCCTGTACTGCCTTCAATGTCGTGTCTCATCACTTCAACAGAATTGCATAAACAGGAGTGGCCTGGGATTCGGGGATGCGCGTTTGAGGCTTTGAGACGCCTCATCATGTCTTCGATAAGCCGTTACACTGAAGTGGTAACCCTAAAATGTCATGCTCGGAAAGAGCTCCATACCTTAAACCCAATGATGCGAGACTCGATTTGCTGAGACCATCTCGTGTCCAGCTCGCTGCTTTTCACTGTCAGGTACTGGTATATGTGCCTATAGGGTACGAGTATCCTCCCAGAAGCACTTCCGAAAGGGATTAGAGGTTTAGCGTTTAGCGGAAAAGAGGATCCGTAATTTGAGACTCCCCACTTGGGGGGTCATGAGTCTGTCGCATAGACCCCGACCCCAGATGTGTCCGTGGAAGGCCTGCGTGCGGATTCTCCAGAGCATGAAGGCGCCACCGCAAGGGATCGATTCCGGATTCCCTTTCGGGACAGGGGCCAGTAGACTAGACTGTTTCTCTCCGCGAGGTCGCGAGGCATCGACATCTCCAAAACCACGGGGCAACGGGAATGGTTGAACGGATGTACGATTCTCTACGGACGGCTGAGTGGGAGTGAAACGAACGTAGCAGCACTTGTAGGATATTTCTCAGGGTTTAGTGATTTAGTGTCCTGAAGTCGCCATCGAGTATCAGCAGCTCTTGCAAGACGCCGCGCCCTCAGACAGAAACTGTAAATTCCACGCCCCAAACAAGCCAACACCAGCCCACTGCAAGTGCTTGCGCCGTGCGCCGCTCATTGCCCCCGATATGGTCGGCATTCTTCGCAATAGAATCCTCAAACCCCTAAGCCTTAAGTCCTAAACCACGAAGCACCCCAAACCCTAAACGCCTGAACCTAAACCCTGAACCCTGTAACCCAGAGACTTTTCCAGGCGTTGTCAGGATTTCCGAGAGGCTGCACCATGGACCGCCGACAGTATGGCTCGAGCAGCTACTTTAAGAGTCATGGGACTTAGGGACTGTGGGTTTGGGGGTTTAGGGTTCATTGGATGTAGTGACCCTAAACCCTAAACCGTAAAGTTAGAGTAAGACGAGCAAAGGGATACGAACTTGGCCCTACAGACCTGCCTAAATAGGCTCTCTTGGACATTGCCCAGGAAGAAGGTCCTCAAAAAAAAGGGAGTTAGAGTAAGGAAACATAGCTATGTCGCGAAGGTGCTCAGAGCTATACTTGCTGACTAACACCATGATGTTGTTAAGTAGGAAGGAGACAACTACAGATCAGAGTAAGGCAGGTTTAGGATTTTGTGAACGGAATCAGAATGCTACAGCCAACAGCCACTACGACTAGAGGATTCGCAATCACTGTCAGCATAGCCACTGGCACTCCAACGATTATCGACATCACCACCATGAGATCCCACGACTCACCCGCGTTGAATAAACCCATCCCGCACTCTCTCTCTCTCTCTCTCTCGCGCCCCTTTTCTGACTCTTTTCCATGCTCGTTGAATATAAGCAGGTACATACATACACAGATCGACAGCTGGGGTACACCAAATCAGCAAGAGAGCTAGAACAAGATCCAAACTGACAGCCATCTCCACCTGAGCCCCAAGCCCCAGCCGCGGAGCCTATGTCTGTGCGGAAGACGAAATCAGTGGGTTCTGGTCTCGGGGCGACTTGGCACGAAAGAGAGGGAACACGAGCTTAATGGTTTCGGAGTCTGGGGTTCGGTTTCGGGTTTCTGGGCTTCAGTCAGGGGGTTTTCGGTTTAGTGCTTTCGCGGTCTCAAGTTTTAGGGTTTAGAATGTTATGGATTGCTTAGGGCTTCAGGACGGGTTGAGACTCCGTATCCCCGTTGCACCGAAGCTTGGAACTTCCAGGGATTGAAGCCCTCTTAGAGTTTAGGGTTTAGGGTTTAAAGTTTAGGGTTTAGGATTTAGGATTTTAAGTTTAGGGTTTGAGGTTTAGGGTGTAGGGTTTAGGATTTAAAGTTTACGGTTTAGGATCTCGGGTTTTAGGTTTAGGGCTTGAGGTTTAGGGTTTAAAGTTTAGGGTTTAGGATTTAGGGTTTTAAGCTCAGTTTGAGGTTTAGCCCTCAGAGTTTAGGGTTCAGGGTTTAGGGTTTAGGGTTTAGAGTGTAGGGTGTAAGATTTGGGGTTCAAACTTTGTTTAGGGTTTAAAGTTGAGGGTTTAGGGTTTAAAGTTTAGGGCTTAGGGTTTTTGGTTCTGGGGTGAGATGAATCAACCATCACCGATGCTTCGTCGCCGTAGTAGCAGTGCGCAATGGCCATGCTGGTGGTGGAAGCTATGGCGGCAGTAGTCGTAGAAGTCGTAGCAGAGACAAACCAGTTATTATTGCAACAATGGCCCAGGGGCGCAAAGTAGATAGCAGCGTGGTGTCAACAATTGTTTCGGGCGGAAATCATTTCACAAGTGGAGGAGAATCACGCAATCCATATATCTCTTCATCAATCTCTCACTCTTTCTCTCTCTCTCTCTCTCTCTCTCTCTCTCTCTCTCTTCTTGTCCTTTCCTTCTCTCTTCTCTCGCGCGCTTTCTCAACTCCTGAAATCTATGGAGATTGCAGCCATCGGGGTCATCTTGCTGCCGAGGTTCATGGTGGATGCTGGGGAACGGCTCCCCACAAAGACCACCCTCATCTTTTCTGGGCGCAGGCAGGGAAGAAGGGGGAGGGGTTGTGGCATCGATGTGTTGAGGTTGGAAGTTTGAAGGGCAGAGGATGGGTTTAGGGTTTAGGGTTTAGGGTATGGGGGAAGTAGGGGCCTTTGTAAGCATCGTCAAGTTGTCCTATAGGCCCTAAACCTCGGAGCATGGGAAGCTAAGGAGTCTAAAGGCGGCGAGAAACATCCGACCCAACGCCTCATCCATGTAGTTTTCTGTTCTGCGGATTGATTAGAGAGCGGAAACGAGGCGCTCAAACAAAAATAACCTTGGAGCCAAATATTTCGCCAGGTATCGGCAGCACTGCTGATTTTGGGCCCGCTCGCGGCCACCATCTGGACACCCTGGCGCCAGGGGTGCGGTATCGGGGGCTCCTGCTCTGTCGGCGTGCAGGTCTGGGTGGAGTCGTAGGTATCTAAGAATCTAAGCAGGCCACATCGAGGGTCTCTGGTTCAAAATGTCGAGCGTGGGAGCAGAGGCCGAAGCCTCTCGATAGACGGGCGCTTCTGTACGACTGGAACATCGATCTTCCTGGGTCAAGTCTTTGTACATCCGCCCGAAGATTTCAACCCGAGCCCCCGGCAGCGTCATGAGCACCAACACCCCAAAGCTCTCGATTTCTCGCTTTTCTACCTACCTCTACCTACCTACCTCTCTCTCTCTCTCTCTCTGTCTCTCTCCCTCGCTCACTCTCTTGCTTTCTTAGCTCCTGAACCCTGGCAGCTCTCCATGGCAATGGCCGTGCCGTTGAGCATGGTGAACCCGGGCTGCACGTGATCTGATAGCTTAGGCTTTCGACATGAGGCCTTTTTTGGGAGGTGGCGGGATTCGGGGTTTAGGGTTTTAGGGGTTTCAGCGGTTTTAGGGTTTCTGGAAAAGGAAGGTTTTAGGGTTGTAAGGATCTTGGGGTTTGGGGGTCACGGGATTTGGGTTTACGAGGTCATTGTTTTAAGGTTTTGGGGCGTTTTAGGGTGAAGGGGGGTTGTGGTTTAGTCTTATTAATAGGAGTTCAGGGTGTTTAGATTTTGGGTCTCAGGGTTTAGGATTCAGATCTCAGTGCTTCGGGGGTTCAGGGCTTAGGGGCTTAGGGTGTGGTCCTCAATCCGAAGAAGCTGCCCGAATCCTCGTTTGTAAAGGAACCACCTGGGTCACGCTGTGGCGCGGCGGTGGATCCCGCTGCTGCAGAAACTGGATAGGCCTTCAGGGTTCAGAGGGTTCAGGGTTTGGGAGGGAGCGGTACGGCTACCATGCACGCTAGCTAATGGATTGGAAAGAAGTACCGTTTGCACCCAGCTCCTTTCCGTGGCCCAGAACCACCATCTCGCTGGGGTGTGTGGTCGGTGCTTGGGCGCTCTCCCAAGACCTCTTCTTCACGGTGGGGTCAGTTCCTTGGTCTAACTTCAGCACCGACTTCTACGTTTCGCGGCCATGTGCATGGCAGAGTCATCGCCGATGAGTCATCGCCAGAAAAAAGGTACTCCAGTCATCGTTGGAATTGCAGGGGGTACTGCAACCCATGGCTCCGTGCTATCTAGAATCTAGAGGGGCTTGGCGGATTCAGCTTGGGTGTGGCGCGGTGAACAGCTTTTCGGCTCCAGATTCTCTGGTTGGAATGCAGCCGGCTTTGCGCGCTGCCAGCTACCCGAGGAACAACTTCACTCAGTAAGCAGGTGTCCCGTGGTGGGGGGCTCCTTTTACTGATTTACCTGATTCTCCAACTGCCAGAGTTACCAGAGCACCCTCAGGCTTTACTGGCTTCCACGGTCATCATTCTGCAACTCGCCTGCAGATTTGCGCCCGCAGTGGTTTTGAACTGATTCGGTCCAGTGTCGAGACATTGAAGCAAGCAGTTCAAGTCGGAAGAAAGAGCTATGGGGTTTTGCTGTTCCCCCCAAACCAGTAACACTGGGTCGGCGCACGATTGCTTATGAGTTACGTCGCTGCAGACTAATTAGAGGGAGCACCCTTCTGCGCCTGAAGCCCTCCCGTCAAACCCTAAACTCTAAACCCGACGAGACGATAGGGATTTCACAAGCTCAAGCTACCAGCCTTCAAACCCCGTAAAGCCTCAAAGCAGGAATCATGCCTACCTCTCCAATCTCCAAACCGATTGTTTGTTTCCATCTTTTTTCTTTGTCTTGCGGTGTTTTTGTGGGGGACAGCAACCGTCCCGAAAATCGAACCTCCCACAGCCTCAAACCATCAACAAGCCTTAACCCCAAGTGCTGACACCCCAACAGCCTTATCCTCACAAAAACCCTGAACTCAGCAAATTTACACCCTTCACCGCCAATTCCCAACACCCCAAATCCCTAACCCGAACCCTCAGAGCCTTGAGCACTAAACCGCAAAGGCGTAAATCCCAAATCCTCAACCCCCCAAAAGCATTCAACACGTACGCCCCAAATCCCAAATGTACTGTACACCCAAAGCCCGAAAGTTCTCACACCCCCAACCCTAAACCCTGAACCCTGAACCCTAAACCCACACCCCCAGGATGTGGTTTGGTAGCCCCCGCTACCGAGACAGCGAAGTCTTGGCTTCGAGCCTCGTTGCTGTGTGCCGCTAGGCGGAGCTTCGGGGCTTTCCGGAGGTTGAGGGTTTTAGGGCTCTATGGTTTTAGGGTTTAGGGTTGTAGAGTTTAGGATTTTGGGTTTTAGGGTTTTGGGGCTTCGGGGATCGGGGTTCAGGGCATTGGGGCAAGCAAGAGTGGAAGAGAGTATGCAGGGTTGTACAGCATGTTTCAGGGTTTTGCGGTTTCGGGTTTGAAAGGTTGGGGCCTTTTGGGTTTCGGAGTTGTGCCTCCGGGGTTAAGTTTGGACTTGGGGGCCTTGGGGATCTGCATTGCGAGTGTTCCATATCGATGTATACTCCTCTGTCTTGGTGTGCTTTGGGGAATTGAGTAGGAACCATTCTTACGTCGTTTCTGGATCCCGTTCAGTCACAGCAAGGCAGTCCATGTTGCACACACATCGGCGTCACTTTCAACTTCCGACCTAGGCATGTGCATAGGGGAACTGGGTTGCAAGCAACAAGCACTGCAGCACAGTCTGAACTGAACTGTAGGAAAGGGTCATCTGACAAGTTCCACCCTGTCGCAATGGCTGCTGCTGCAGATAAAGATGAAGCATGGGAGGAAGAAGAGGAGTGGGGAGATGAGGAGGAGGAAGATGAAGAGTGGGAAGAAGAGGAGGAGGAAGAGGAAGAGGAAGATGAAGAGTGGGAAGAAGATGAGGAGTGGGAGGAAGACGAATCGCCGGACAAAGTTGGTGAATGGGAAGATTCCTCTGACGGCGAAGATTCGGAACATGGTGAGACGGAACAAATAGGTCGCTTGCAGAAGTGGTTTCACAAGCCGAAACACGCGTTTGGTTACATTGAGTGCCTAAATGCGCGTGACAGTGTTTACGTCTATGGCCACGTCTTGGTCACCTCTCTTGGCATCTTATACGAGGATGTGCCGCATTATTTTGGCCGGTTTTTGCGCTTCAAGATGATTCGGAACCACCTCGGCTACAAGGCTTCGGAGCCCATGGAACTGCTGCCTGAGGCGTTCGAGGGCAAGGAGACTCTCAACGCTGAGCTCGACAGGAGGAGGGAAAGCAGATGGCAAAGGATCAAGAAAAAAATGAAGCAAGAGAGTCGTGAGAAGGACCGGCAGTGGAAGCAGTTCCAAGAAGGACGGCCTAGGGCAAAGAGAGACGTGTTTTCGCCGTAATGTACAACAGAAGGTGTGATTCTGGTAGGCGAACAAGAAGAACATCATTGTGTTTGTTCGGACCCCTTTCCCTGAGGACGCGGCTTGGGGAACACGAAGCGCTTAAGGCACTTGTGCCTTATGCTGAAGATTGGCAGGAAGACGGTTGTCAAAGGCTCCGCGGCTTTATAGCTCATGTTTTCACACTTTTTCTTACGTATGGACAGCAGAATAGTCCACAAACGCACATCTTGACCATCAGCCCAGCCAGCATATCAGGTTATCCAGCGCGCAAAATTACAGCAAAGTCCATTCAAGGAAAAGCAGCGCAGCTGTACCTGCTGAAGAAGCCGGTGAACTTCAAGTGCATGCACGGCGGCCATGTGACCTCCAACTACGTGGCTTTGGCGCATGGGGGCGAGGTCTGGTCTTATCAGCAATATTGCAGGTTTACAGGAAAGGGAAAAGGTAAAGGGAAAGAGAAAGGTGGCGGCAAGGGAAAGGGACAAGGAAAAGGGTCAGGGAAAGACAAAGGTGGCGGCAAGGGAAAGGGACAAGGAAAAGGGTCAGGGAAAGGCACAGGAAAAGGCAAAAGCAACCACAAAGGATGCCTTGCAGGCAAAGGGAGAAAAGGTAAAGGAAAGACTTGAAAGGTGCCGAAGACGAACCTGCGGCTTTGACACTTAGAAGATCGATAAGACGTGCCAAACCTCATCCTTGCAACATCTGCGTGATCGAAGCAGTGATCTTGATCTGCTCGCTCGACAGAAGCACTTGCCATGTTGAGCATCTGTGAGCCCAAATGTCGTTTCACGTTGTATGGGGCGAAGATGAGTGGGTGACCCGAGTGAGCTGGGTCTCCGGAACCCCAATGCGTGTGGTTTCATGACATCCTCAAGACGCAGAAGTAATAGTTTGATCTGATAGTTAATCTCCCAGTAAGGCTTTCAGCGTCCGAGAGACCCAGGCCTGGTGGCACCAGCTCTTGATTCAGCAGTCCAACCCTTAGCCTCATGATCCTGAACCCCACACGCAGTCAGAATAGACTGAATATGTTGTGAATACCAAAATAAAGAAGAAGCCGCAGCTGTGCAGCTCGGAGAAAGGGATGGGCACGGTCCACCTTCATCAAGCCCCAGGGTTCAGCTGGACTGCAGCTGCCTGCCAAGCAGATGCTGCGCAGATGAATGGCACTTTCATGGGGTGTGAAAAGACCCGGTGACCCGGTGTGCTGACAGTTCAGTAGAGGGGAACTAGTCACGGAAATCTTGCGGCGGAATTCTTGCAAGTTCCTGATCACCACTAAGTTGCAGTAATTCTTTGTGGGGGTCGTTCTGCAAGATCGTGAGGCGAGAACAGCGTATTGATCCCGACGCATCGAGATGTCGTAATGGTTTATGCTTGGGCTGATGTGGACCGCTTCCCGGAACCTTATGTGGACACTGGGTTGCCAGCAGTGCTTCTTCCCGATAATGGGTGTCAGGACACGACTGACAAGGCTGAACGGCCTCCGGAATCTGCATATGTTGTGTGGTATTGGCGATCCCTAAATCAAACAAAGGTTGGCGCGGGGCCTTGTTGGCAGGGGCCGCGAATATTGTCCTAGCGATAGAATTCTTTTCTAGTTTTAACACAGCTTTGACGTAATCCCCAAACCCCATTCTGATCATTAGGGCCCCTATATCTTGTTAGCGTCGTGGGAGCTGGAGCTTGCAACAACCGAAATGGCCCTGAACCATAGCCTCAGAGGCTTTTCAGATCCCAGGCATTCTCTATGGGCTCCTTCCCATGCTCTTCTACCGGGAATCCCTGGACCTGCGGCCGCAGAGTTTGAAGGTGTAGGGCATGTTTATGGTTGAGGGATAAAGGTTTCAGGGGCCAGGGTTCGGGGTTTCGGCTTGGGGGCTTACATGCAAAAACGGCTTCCGAAGAAAGGCCACTCAGGATTCGTTGACATTCCCACTACGGTTTTCAGGGGATCAGGACCTAAACTCCTAAACTCTAAGCCCTGCGTAAACTCCAAAAAGTATACCTAAATCCCAGACCCCAACTCTAAACTAGAAGCTAACTCCCGCAACCCCTAAACCCCAAAGCCCTGAACCCTAAAGCCTACGCCCCCAAAGCCCTAGACCTCTAAACCCCTGTACCATGAATCGCCAAACCCCCAGCCCTAAGCCACAAAACCCAAAGCCCTGAAGCCTTGAGCCTCCCGAAAAGCTCCGCAGAGGACCACTGCGTCTGGCCGGCTGGTAGTGCCATCCTGGTCGGCTTCGCGCTCTTCCAGTTCGATCCCCTAGGTCAGGAGTGTAGGACCGTAGGATTTCGGATTTTGATTTAGGAGTGTATGTTTTGGGTTTTGGGGATCTAGGATGTAGGGTTCGTGGTTGAGGGGTTCAGGGCTTTGTTTCTGTGATTTGAGTTTTGGGGGGTTTAGGAGTTAGGATTTGGTGCTTTGGGGGGGTTAGGGCTTTTTGGGTTGATGCGAACAACCTGAGCGAAAGGGGTGGGTTCGGGTTAGGGTTGGGAGTCTAGGACTTTGGGGTTGCGGTTTATGGGTTCTAAGGTTTGGACGTTTGAGGTGTGCAGTCGGGGGAGTTGGGTTTGGGCTTCGGAACCTGCAGGAGGCTGGGGGGAAAGATTAGAAGATCAGACTTTTGGGCTACGGTTAGGTGGGATGGAAGACCGGGCAACCTTGACTCAGACTGGAGCGGGTCGTGGTGGATGATACTCTTTTTGAGGTCCAGGGCCTGGGGGGTAGGGTTTAGCGTTTAGGGTACTTGGACAAGTTGAGTTCGGAGCTTTCTAGCTTTAGTCTTGCCGCAGTTGCTTGGCAAGGTCGTTGTGAGCACGGCTGTATTCTTGGTGTTACAAGGAGGCTTCGCTATTGCAGCCGACCTACACCCTAAATCGTAGATCCAAAACCTGCTTTAAATCCCACGGTTTTCCATGCAACGGAAAAAGGGGGCCTCAAGCTACCAAAACGTCCCCTGCAGAGGTGTTTGGACGGATTCCGTCTGGCACCTCGTTCTCATCCCATATGCTCACTTCTGTTCGCTCTCTGCCGTGCGAATGGACCAGCGGCTCTTTGGGCATTGCCTCAGCTCCTCCTAGCTTTCGGAGATGGGCATGTGTCCGAATCCCTAAGCCAGAAACACCCCAAGTCCAACACCCCCATTACTAGCCCATTACTGTCTCGGACTCCAGGGGCCTCTCTGGGTTTTCGAGATAGGGGATGATTCGACACATGTTCAAGCTTTTCACTGTGCGGCAAAAGCCCGCCATTGGTTTTCTGCCGGAAAAAGTAGCAGGTGTATCGGCGCATCAGGAGAAGTATTAGGAGACTTAGAAGGCCGGACTGGTACGGTGTGCGTGATCGGAGTGGTTGCCTCATGTAGACACGTTGAACTGGTGGAATAGTTGCAGCCCCAGCCCCAGCTTCCGTGGAACCTTATTGGCCCTGGAAGGCGTTGGGGCAGAGCCCTCCGCCTCCCCTTGTGGCGAGCAGGGACCTCGTCGGCTCTGCGTCGTATAATGGAAGCCTTCCAGGTGAAGGGCATGGTGGGGTCATGTACTGTGGGAGCTGATTTTTGTGTCACCGGCAGCAGCATATGCCTTGGCTTGGGTACGCAGGTTGTGCACGGCCCGCACGGCCGATTGAACTCGTGCGAGTGGCACAGTGCTACTGCTGCTGATGATGATGATGACGATGCGACGACGACAACGCCCGCCCTCATCACAGTGGGCACAAAGACGGTGCGATTGGTGATGATGATGATGTTGCACAATGTTACTGATGATGCTGGCCTCTGATAGTGATTCTGATGCTGATGCTGACGCCGATGCCGGTACCGATGCTGATGCCGGTGCCGTTGCCGATGGCGGTGCCGGCGGCGCTACTGATGCTGACGGTCCTGGCACTTAAATACGATGCCGATGGCATCCCGAAAATCTTCCAAAATGCAAGCCACCCGAGTCTGCACCCCGCATGCCGAAGCTCCAACTAGCAACCTCCAAATCACCCAAACTCCTTCGAGAAAGCGCCGCCCTAAAGGCCTGGCGAAGGCCCTGGAAACCCTTGCGCCTGTGGAGCTGTGCGCGGCTCTTCGGTGCGGGGCCTGAGCTCACCGCGTAAGGAGCAGCAAAGTAAGTAAAGACGTATTAGTACTGGATGAATAAATGCACAAACGAGTTGAACTTTTAACAATACACTAAACATAAATCAAAATGTTCGCAACAACATTGAAATCTCTCTCTCTCTCTCTATCGATCTGTCGATCTATCGATCTATCTATTTATCTATCTATATGCATAGAAATTTGAATAGCTGGTTGAAACACAACAATCAGAGATCCGGATTACTTTCTCCCAGATCTCCAGACTGCTCCAGCAGTCCGATCACTGGAGCACGCAGTCCAAGCTGCAGAGTGGTTTAGGGTTTAGGGAGGTTCAGGGTCATGGATCCAATTAGGCACTTTGGTGATGTTATGGGATCTTGGCCGCTTGCCAGAACAATTGTTCCGAGTGCTCCCAGCCGCCCAGCCGCAGAAGAAGCAGCTGTCTTCAACCAAATCCTTTCATGTCCGGGTGATCCAGGACTTCATATGACAGATCCTGCACAGGCTAAGCATACCTCTTGACACTGCATGACGATTCTTTGCAAGCAGGCGGCTTGCATCGCGGGTTTGGTACAAATGAAAAAGGCAGAAATGACATTCAGAACAGTGAGCTTCCTGTTCCGGAAATCAGGCTCTAGCCTTAAGGCCCGCCATTTTCCCACTAGAACCTTAAAAAACACTGAAAACCCCAAAGACCCTAAAACACACCGCCCTACGAACGACCAAACAAACTCGAGTAACCCTACACCCTCAACCCTTAGGCCGCTAACCGCCCAGAGCGTGAAAGCATCAGGAGGCCAGGGCTTTTCAGGGTTTGGGCTTCAGGGATTAAGCTGTAGTTTCATTTTTAACTTTTTGTTTGCAGGGGGGCAATCCTCTTAGTGCGTCTGCGACGCGAAGGCAGATGCTTTAGAATTTGGTGTAGGCAAATATGAACAAACAGAACTTGTGGCGTTGCTGGTATAGATAGGGGTATGGCAGAACAGAGATATTGGGATTGAACCAATACTTCAACAGTACTAGCAGTCCTGGTCGTTCCAGGTGGCGATGGTCTTTGCAAGCGGTTCACAGCATAGCTTGTTCCGACACAGAGGTCCGTCGTCGTTGGCCGTCGTCAAGTATTCGTTGGGACTTAAGTTGAATGATAGATCTAGGAAGCATCTTTGTATGTGTGCCCGCAGGTGTGTTTGTACGTGTGTCTATCTGTGTATCGCTGCATACATGCTATGTATGCATACATGTTATGTTTTCTCGGGATGTCCTTGACTCCACGGAATAGCTAGGCACTGGGCTGCTGCCTGAAGGACCCTAGATCACCGCCAAATCCAAGTTCGCACGACCTGTTTGCCAATGTGCCGAAACCCGAAAAAGCCCCCCTCCCCAAAAATAACCGAACCACACCCCCATTTTCCTAAATCCTAAACCCTAAAACCCCGAAGCCTTTGACTGAACCCTTTGCCTCAGAACGAGCGACCTACACCGCAGCCGCCACGCGCGCCATGGCGCAGCTCAAAAGCTCGCGGCAGGTGCTTCGGCCCTGAGGGCAGTGGGTTCAGGGTTGAAGCATGTATTGCTAGTCGTATCATGATTGATTAATTATTGTTTCTAGTATGCTTATTACTATTAGTACTAGCATTACTATTAGTATTCTTATTACTAGTGTTACTATTATTATTCACGTGTGGGAGGTCTTTACATTGAGGCCGTGAGGGCTTAGGACTTAGGAGTTGTGTCAGTGTGGAGCAGATCGCATGAGGAAGTAAGGACCCTGCAGTCCAAGCCGGCTCAGTGCTTCGGAAAATACAGGGGTTTAGGGTTTAGGGGCTTGGGGTTTCTTGGTTTAGAGCTTGGGCTATTGTTGTTTTTTTCCGAGACTGCAGTTTGGGAAAAGGTGTGTGTCTTTTTCCCAGAAGCCAAAACTTATCTCTCTTGTATCTGGTTCTTCGTGGTGCAGGCAAGTAGGTACTGCACCAGAGTCGTACGAAGACAAAGGGACAGGAACTTCCTCGACAGACAGGTACTGCATCGACACTAAGGCCGCTACTCACCGCTACTTGCCACACTGGTAGCAAACATGACAACCACAATACGGCGGCTGGCAAGAATAGCGTGTCGGGTGTACCGGCTTGGGTTGGGATTGGCAGTGCAGCCGTTCCCTAAACCTCAAGCTCTGAACCCCCAAACCCTAAGCCCCTAAACCCCTAAACCCTAAACCCCTAAACCCTAAGCCCCTGAACCCCACACTTTCTTTGCAACTCAGGCCTGGGAGCTCGAAGGCTTGTGCTCGTGGCTCAGGGGTTGGGTTGGGGATCTGGGATGTGGGGTTTGCGGGAGGGTGACGGCTCCAAACAGATCCACCAGGCCCGAAATCCTAAATCTTGATTCTCAGAGCCCTGACGAGCTGGGTTGGTAGGTTCCAGGTCCCAGGTACCTGGAGTGCTGAGCCATTCGAGGTTCAGAGTTCAGCCATGGAGAAGGTAGGGCGAAAGGGAGGATTCGGTTGGGTGCGGAGGACGAGGACTGAGAAGAGAATTGGAGTCTAGGGTTAAGGGTTCCCCAAATCCGCACCAAACTTGCCCTCAACCCTGAACCAGAGTAATTAGGGTCTGGTGCTATGATTTCCAGAAGCCTAGCCAGTAATAGCCTAAAGTGGAGCCCATGTGCTGAGGCTGTTTCAAGGGCTTCCGGAAGGCACCCCTCAACTGAAGCAGGGCAGGGTGTATAGTACATTATAGTATATTATGGTATATCATGGTATATTATAGTATGTTGCGGCATATTCTGGTATATTAGAGTATGTTACAGTATATCGTCGCATATTATATTATAGTAGTAGGGTGTCTGGCTTGGATCTATTCTTGTTTGCATCCCCTGGCCCCGGCTCCCCCCCCAGTTTGGTATCCCTCATCTGAAGATTGCAGAGATTGAGGCAAGAACCTTCGGCTAGACATCGGCGAGGCAGGGTGCAACTTCATTTCAGACCTCTTCGGCGGCGAAGACCATGATAGCACGTTGGAAGCAGGCCTAGATCCTAGATCGCAGAAGCAGAAGCCCTCAGTTAGATGGAGTCTCTTCTCACTTCGACAGTCTGCCGTCGCGACTGCTACGCTAAACCTGCGCCGAAGTGTCCGCTGAATTGCTTGGAAGCTCATCTCTACGAAAGGAAATAGAATCTCTAATCCAAAGTGATCCGAAACTCCTTGAAGCCCCGCTTCACCTGCTCGCTCATCCTCTCCTGCGCCCTTTCTGCCACACTCTTCCACCGCCGACAGTGACAGGTGATGCCAGACGACGATCTCTTCACAGAGGAGTCTGGGCAGTGTGTATATTCTATAATTAGTATATCATGGTATGTTGTAATATATTGTATATATTATTGTATATCACAGTATATTATTTTATGTTGTAGTCTATTATAGTATATCATAGTACATTGAAGTATACTGTAGTATATAACAGTATATCTTAGTATATTATAGTATATTGCAGTATATTAAGGCATGTCATGGTATATTATAGTAACTATAGTATATTGTATACTACGCTGCCTGCGAGCTGACCTCCTCTGTCGGTCCCGTAGTTCCACACGAAACCTCCCAAGCAAGTTCCAGGAGATGCCGGGGCAGTCGCAGATGAGATAGCGGCAAAAATACGCGCCGCTGCACCTCGCTCCGGTTTCACGGCACCAACCTCCCTCTCGCTTGAGCCGTCTCTTTCACATGTCGAGTTCTGCAGCTGTCGGCCTTCATTGTGCGGCAGATCACCAGGATCAGGATCGGGAACGCGGGGATTATTCTTGACATTACGATTCAGTGTCCTGTGATCGTAGCTGCATGGGCATTTCTGAACTCTGAACAACACACCCAACATCGACTGTAGAGCGCGATGCGGCGGTGGCTAGTCGCTCGGATGCAGCAGTTGCCAAGGGAGCCTAAGCACTCCCTCATAAATCATTACCGTCTTTCCTTCTTTTTCGGATTGTGAGTACCCGCCTTACGCAAACCCAACCCAGTCATCCTCGACAAGCCTTTGCGAGAGGCCACCTGCCGGCCACATACCACGAGGGTTCTTGGCCGGTGCACTTGGCCACGAGCTCAGCTAGCTCGCATTGCAAATGCTTGATCGAATCAGCGGAACACCCTGAAGCCTGGCTCAGTAGAGTTCAAACTTTACTTCCATGCGGGCTCCGTTTTGCCATGTCCGGCAAATGAAATCACAAGCACCAAGCACCCGAAGCCTGAAACGCCGCAACCCTTCCCGGCAGGATCCCAAGGCATCCGAGCATGGGAGTCTTCGCACAGCAGAGGCTCTTCTCCGCGCCCTTCCGTGGGCCAGTGCTGCGTGCTCAGCAGGTCAAGGGCAACAGTGATCTTCAAAAAAGAGTTGTATTGAAGAAGAGACAGTCTCGTGTGTGATGTGATGCAATGCAAGAGTATACAACAACATGGTAGTTTGTAAATAGTTGGACATGTTGCCGATCCATGGATTCAACGCATGTTCAGATTCACCACCTGATTTCGAACCTCGAAGAGGCACTGCCTAGCAAAAGATTAAGACCAACAATTGAAGCCATCAGAGCAGCTTCGTCCCCGACTACTTCGTTGGCCACGAGAATGTAAGTGTGGTTCGAACTTCCAAGGGCCATGGATAACAAATTGATATTTCGTCCACTGTGTGGGAGACAACATGGTAGAGCTGTGAGTTTTCATGAAGCCATGCGAAATTGTAACATACATGTTCGGCAAACTGGAGCATGAAAAGGTCCCGTGATCTCAAGGCAGAGCATGGGCTGTAGTTTTCTGGACTCTGCAACGCATCTAGATGAATAAACCTTTCCCATTCCTCCTGAAACAAACACATGAATCCCGACCACTTTCCAATCATTAATCCGGACCTCTATTAAGAACCCTGAGCTTGGGGCGCTACGAGGCAGGGTCACATTGAGGAGCGCCTGACCTCTGAGTTGCGGCCGTTGCATCTTGAGGCCTCAAGAACTGGAAATGTCGGGGTTTAGGGGCTTGGGGGATCTGGGGTTGAGGCGTTTGTTGACGTGTAGTGGTCTGGAGTTGGAGCAGAGTGTGATCTGCTGGCGCATGGGCGCATGATTAGGTCATGCGGTTTCAGGTTTGGGGGTTTAGAGGCGAGCTTGACAGGCTCAGTAGGAACATTGGGCCGCAATCGTATCGTCGTTTTGGGGGACTGGGGCCTTGTCCGACTCTGCATCGAAGCATAATACGGAAAATCATGCGACTTCCAGACCACATCCATGGACCCCAGTCCCATTCCCACGTCGCAATGAGTAAAGGCACAAACTGTCGGAGCCAGGTGGTGAACGAATCGCACGGAAAGAAGAGTGACGAGTCTCACTTCCACGTGCTGATCGTCTCGGAGGCCTCTAACCCATCACTCACAGCCAGTGCAGCCAGTGCAGCCAGTGCTCGTGTTAGTGTTGGTCTTAGTGTTAGTGTTGTTGTGAGCGTCGTCGTCGTCGTCGTCCTAGTCGTAACCGTGGAGTCGCAGTCGTAGTAGCAGTCGTAGCAGTACGAGCAGTAGTAGCGAGAAGCAGTAGTAACAGCAGCAGCATCCATGATGCACTATCGTTGACTAATCATCAATCTTCACATTTATATACATTTATGTGTACATGCCGTTTCATGCGAATTGAACTGTATGTAAGAATATAACGCCGAGCAGGCTTTCGAGGGCTTAAAGCCCCTGGCGAGACATCGTTTGGTGAATGGCCTTTTCACGCGTGAGGTGCGCCGAAGTTGCGGGTTCAGTCGGGTAGTTTTCGAGTTGAAGGTATTTGGTTTGGGCGTGATTTATGGAGTGCAGGTGTGCATTCAGGTCAGTGAGGGTGTTTGCCGAGGCCGTGGTTGGTAGCCATATTGTCGTAGATGACGACACCTCTGGGGCATAATCGCATCAACAGGCTCGTCCCCGGCAGTCCCATGCCGTCTCGCTGAGGAGCTGAACCCGAAACAGCATAAGCCTTAAACTGATCCTCACGAGGATGGTTCCTTGAAGTTTCACTCCCTGCGCATCACAGCCAAGACCCCAGCCATGTGGGAGGAGGCCGTCGTGGGGCCTTGGGTTTCGGGTTTGGAGCTTTTGCTCCGGAGACCCTTCAATGAAGGATCCCTGGATTCAGGAGCCATGGTATCTTCGTGTCGGGTGTTTGTCCCAGGTAGGGGCTGCCAGTGTTTGGGTTTCGGGGGTTACGAGCTGATCTCGGTCTTGCGGGCTTTCGGGTTCAGGCTGTATTGGTTGTGGGGTTTTGGGGCGTTAGGGTTGCTCGAGGACTGGCTATGCGGTCTTCCCAACCCTCTGAAACCAAAACCCAAAGCCCTAAACACCGTGGTATTCACTTCATTTTCCCACAACACGCGCTGAATCCTAGCGCCCGTGATTTGTGGCTCGGAGGTATCACTTAACTAGCGGAACATCGCATTTCTTTCACTGAGGCGTCAAGATTCACAGGACAGCGTGCAACATGCTTTAGCCGCAAGCACTTGTCATCTTTCCAGCATTTCTTCGACAAGCAGGTCCAGTTCACAACCCCTTCAGAGTGGTTGCCCCACATCAGGCCGGGCCGTGAGATGGAAGAAACCATCGGAGCCGCCACTGAAGAACGGACCAGGGATTCTGTGGATGATCGTCAGCAGGAGGAGACGGCTGAGAAGATGCGCCGAGATCGGCAGCTGCAGTTTTTGACCAATTGGGTGTCAGAGCACAAGGTACGGGACTTTAGAAGCCCCTCCCAAGCCCCAAGTAGTGAGTCTAGGTGGCCCCCTTGGCCAGCCCATACCTGGAAACTTCTGATTTGGAACGGTGTTCCTAAGCTGCCTGAAGGTCGTCCGCCCCGAGCTTGTGCGATCCATCTACGCATGTCAGGCATTAGACTTTTTTGGTAGTGCATTCCGGACTGGCAGCGTGCAGAAGCTTGACAAGCTGCACAAGAAAAGCAAGGCCACTGGACGCATAGATGAATTTTGGTCGCATTCCTGGCAAAAAAGACCTTACCAGAAGGTTTTGTGCTTGCTCTTCCTCAAGAACGGTTTCGCAGCAAGTTTAATCGGCACGCTGGCTGCCAGCATCGTCTACACCTTCATGCATAATGGCATGCTGCTCATTCGCCTCGATGATAGAATCAATAGCAGAGGAGAACACCTTGGCTTGCCTTTCCTCTGCACCGCCTCTGGGCTGGACACGGTAAACTTGACAATCTTGATTGCTCCTTACAAACTAAGCCCCTTAATCCGAAACCCTAAACCCTAAACCCCAAAACCCAACCCTCGCCACGGTATGCCACGGTCCCTCAAACAGGCTAACGGTACATGTTGTGAGGTCCTGACGTCAAGCTATAACTACATCTGGCAGGGTTCAACGGGTTCGAAGGAAGACTCAGCACAGGTCAGCGGCACCCTCGTCGCAGTCTTGACGCTCTTCATGTGGCGCTCTCGCGTTAAAGTCTTCCTGGACGTATGCTGCATAGACCAGGTGAATGCTAAGAACAAACAGGAAGGAATCCTGAGCCTGTGCGGCATTTTAAGCAAATGCAAGACCTTGTTGATCCTTTGGGACGAAACGTACATTGAGAGGCTTTGGTGTGTGTCGCTCGGCTGCCTCTCCAGGCTTCATCTGTTCTCTTTTCCTTCACACGGGATCCAGCTATTCTCGCAGACCTGACCCAGATGCTTGTTGCTATGTTTTGATGTGGGAGTGAAATCCAGGTTCGAGATTGCCGCCTTTGCGCACAGAAGCGGTAAACCCCGCACGGCTATCAAGCCAACTCTTCTGGGCAAGGTGCAGACGAGAGCTTTCTGGAGAGATATTGGGAGTAATGGGGGGTACCATTTAAGATTATCTAGCGGTCTAGCGCGTTGCGGCCAGGTGACCCTAAACCCTAAACCCTAAACGTTTGCGTCATCCCCTGGTTCGCAGGCTGCTCTGGCTGTCTATGCTGGGACCCCAGTCATGGCGTTGCTTAATCTTGAATTCATGAATGCGAAGTACCGGTGGAGCAGCTCCTACGTGATGCTTGGTGCCTTTGTTGTAAGCTTCTACTGGGGCGTCGCTTCCTTCCGGTCATACCACTACTCGATCGAGATCTTACACAGGCAGCTGCAGAATTTTCGGTTAGAAGACACAAAGTGCAACTGCTGTACGCAGGGACATGTTGGTCCTGACGGCAGGACCTTGTCTTGTGATCGTGAGGTTGTAGAGAGGTGTATTTGCAATTGGTTTGGCAGCGTGGAACAGTTTGAGCTCTTCATCGTGCCCCTGCTTCGCAGCACCTTCGAGAAAGAACTCGGGCAACATACTTTCCCCTACATCTACTTCCTGGTGGTGTTCTGTCCAGTCGCCTGGGCAGGGATGGATTTGACTGCGGGCCACCGCTGGGGTGGTTTCTGGATGTTCCAATTCACAGGCCACTGGTGCTTCGTACGGAATAAGGGAATATAATCTCTACTTAATCCTTACATAGCTATATGCCCCCCCATTCCCCAGTAAACCCTATACCCAAAACCCTACTAACCACCAGTAAGACAGGCTACTGGCTTGGTGTCATGCCTGCAACTGCGAAAGTGGGCCTCTACCTCTCCAGCTACTTCTGCAGGCCGGACTTACCACACTTTTTAATGATGATGTTGGGTTTATTGAAATTGTGTAGGGTTCAGGTTGCGAGTTTTGAGACTTCTGGGCTTTTTTTGGGCGAGTTTCTCCGGTTGCTCTTGTTTTCAAGTTTCCTTCAAAACAGTGGCTGTTTGGCTTTTTTTCCAACCCTGCCTCGCGACCTTTCTCGCAGTGAGGCCCGCGGAAAGCACCTTTTCTGAGCTGCAAAAGCTCCAAGCTGGCTCCAAGCCTTATAACTTGGCTTCAACAGCTCCAACTTGATTCCAAAAGCCCCAAATTGACTCCAAAAAGCCCCGGGTTGACTCCAAAAATGGCTGCACAAGCTCAAATTATGAATTGGATTCCAAATTTGCAAAAGCCTTAAAGTTAGCTCGAAAACTTCACCCAAAACACACATTTGGTTCCAACAGCTCTAAATCGGCTCCAAAAGCACCAAATTGGTTCCACAAGCCCCAGATAGCTTCCAAAAGCACCAAAGTGACGCCAAAAGTGACAAATCTAGACTCTCCACAATGGCAGGGTTCCACTACAGAGAATTTATTTGCCTGCAAACAAAAAGTGTATTTCTTCTTAAGCTGAACGTTTATTTCTAAGAAAAGCTTGCTCTTGAAAGTGCAGTGATTTAATTACTATTTATCCTGAGCTTGAGGGTTTAGGGTTTAGGGTGTAGGATTTAGGGCTTAGAAACCTGCTGCAAGCAGGTTCCCAGAAGATCCAGAATCATTCCCGTTGTTGTTATTATTGGTGCACAATTGTCTTATTACCATCATTGTTGCTGATTATTCGTAATGCTACTATTAGTAGTATACGATCACTACTACCATTCTTCTTATTGCCAACATTACCATGGTCCTTGTTCTATAACGATTCGAACTACTGTTATCATTCCTACTACAAATATCATTGTTTCCAACGTAGCTCCAGCGAAGAACTGACTTGCTCCGTCTCAGCTGGGAAGTTGCGAATGTTTCCAGATGCAGACCCGCCTGTGCAAAGAGAACACTTGCTCGCCGAATTGCCTGGCAATCAAGACTGCCTGACATCTCAATATACTCTGAGACGAGGCTCAGACAAAGACAGGCTGGAAAGCGCAAGTATTCAGCGCGATAGTGCACTTCAGGCAACAATATGTTGCCGCTTTCAACTCGTTCAACTTGCATCGGCCGGACGAGTTGGTCACTCCCCGGATGAATATTCTCGGCAAATACAGACACAACAAGTGGTCAGGGATACAGCGGAGGAACATGGCGCACAATAGCAACAAATCGATCAGATGGAAGGAATCATGTCCAACACTTCTTGGACACATATTGAAGGCAAGCCACTATGACTTGCTCAGATTTGTGATAATGCAAAATTGCTACCAAGTCCGCAAGAAGTTTCCTCTCTGAGGAGTCGGAAGACCACCGGCTCTGCGAAGCAGTCAAAGTCAACCCTTCTCCGGATAATTCAGGCAGAGCAGGACGTCGCTCTTCTGGCTTACCGCGCAATCTTACAGTACGCGAGTTCGCATGTGCTGCGCTACTTCAATGTCAGAGAGCGAGAGACAGAGAGAGAGAGAGAGAGAGAGACAGAGAGAGAGAGAGAGCGAGCACGAGAGGGAGCATCAAAAGGTCTGAAGCAATTTTGTTATGCCCTGTGCAGGCCAAGACGATATAAAGTGTGTGACGTGCTGCTGAATCTTGTGATTGTCCTGGTGATGAACGTGTGCTTCCTGGCGGCCCTCTATGCCGGGGCTGCGTTGAATCCCAAAGGCTGGATAAACCAGTACACCAAGGACGTGAATCTCCAAGGATTCCTGTATCTTGGCCTGGGAGTTTCAAAGACTGCGGGCGGCGTTTGGGTTTTAGAATGTCGATGTGATTGCTGCAGTCGAAAACCGGACCCAAAGCCCTCTTCAAATCTCCTAGGCTCTTCGTCACCTTCTGCATTCCTGCCGTCATGCTGTTCGGCATGCCAGTGCTCGTTCGCTTTGTGCGCTCGCGTGTTGCCGGGACGGAACAGAACTCCGTCTAGCCTCGGCAGCTGGAGACCTGGCTTACTGGTGGTTCGTAGGGAATGTGGGAATAATTGTATATTGTATAGGGACTTTGCAGGGATTGTACTCTTCTATTCCCTACTAACCACCAGTAAGCTTGTGTGGTCCTTCCTGATTTTAAAGGAATCAAGGTCGGCATTTCAGCATGTAACCCCCTGATTAAGAGATCTACTTTTTGGGATCCGCCTGGGGGTCTGGGGAGGCTTTGGGATTTGAGGCCTAGAGTTTCGGCTTAAGGATTGGGATCCATGGTTTAGGGTTTAGAGTTTGGGTTTAGGGTTTAGGGTTTAGGAGGAGAAACACAGAAGCTGGCAAGTCAGCGTACTCAGAAGACAGGCCGTGAAGGCTTGACATTCCAATGAAGCTTTCTGCGCGTCGGCGTGCTTGTCTAAAGACAGACCAGGAAATTCACACAAGTTGTGCTTGCACGTTGTTAATAGTTGATGCACACTTTCTTTTTGCCGTGGGCACAGCCATCTGGGAAGACCAGTTGCGCTGAGGGATTTTCCAAAATTGGGCCACTCCTTTCTGTCATCGCTGGAATAGATGACAGAATTTACCATGGTATAGCGAAGCTTCCATGTTCTTTCCCATTAACCACGGAACAAGGGGATTCGAATCATCTTGTAGCAGTGATACAGAACACTGAAGCCGCATGATGGCCCCAAAGCAGGTTCAAACTCGCACATTGTTGCAGAGCTTGCAGGAGCTCTTGTATGGCATGGGCGTAGCCATACCCACATACTACCGCGCAAAGCCGATCGGCTAAGTGCCTGTTTGCCGGACTTTGTGCGAGCAAGGAAACCTGCGGTTCCGTAGGTTTCCCAGATAAGAAACCTTCACTCACGTGTTGTACAGGTTTCCGTGCCAAAGCCAAGCTTGCAATCTTGGATTGGGACAAACCTGAGTGCATGGGATTATGTTTGAGTCGTTGTGAAATTAGGGGTAGTTGCGGCCAATCGGAATCCATAGTTTTGAGCGACACACAATAAACGAAGACAGTATTTTTCGGGGTGGTTTCTCCTCTGACCCCTTTGTTGCAGACCTACCCTTCACACTGAGGACATTGTGCCCCATGGGTAAAGTGCTGTTAAGGGGCCGGTGTGCACGTTCGCAACCACTTGTAAAGTCGAGGTCTGCATGACGTCAGAATGAAAGGGACATAAGTATAAGTCTATTCAGCGCTGCAGGTATCATTAGTGAGGGAGCTGTTTTCAAAGAGCAATGTGTGCCCCTGTTCTATGGCCAGGATCAGTCGTCACTGTCAAGACCGAAGTGCACCGGCAAGGGTGATGGGAGGACGGCCACGGATGCCAGCAGCCTCTGAAGGAAAATGGGAGGGAGCGGGGGGGGGGGGCGGCCAGGGGGCTGCAACCTTCCGTGCTTGAGCATTTAGGACCGCTTTCAAGAATAACGTGATTACGATCCGAGTCAATATGATCACAAAACCGCGAATTCAGTCAAGGCTAAGAAGGCCAGGGTTTATGCGGCTTTACACGTCATCTCCGTTGTTATGTTGCGTGCCCTTTCGCGCCCAACCCTCAACACCTACATGTCTCTTGATGGCTATGCTAGCTAGCGCTACTTTGCAGGATGGTGTATTGTCAGTGGGGCTACTCTGCTATTTTTGCCGTTCATCTTCGTACAGCCGGTAGGAACGTGAAACCGTAGAATGCTCCAAGGCCCACCAGGTAAAGCGGTGAAGCTATGAGTCACGGGTAAGTCTAAACACCTGTCTTACCCACAGCCGTTTATTCACAAGCAACCATCCTCCTCGGAACAATGTGGGGTGCTTCAATACTTAGACAATCGCGACTTGTTTTTTTCAGGGGGGGGGGGCTGGACATGGTAAGCATATATGGACGATAACAAGCACTTACGGTATACATTGAGAATGGTTCAGACATCCTATATCGATGTTTAGGGACTTCCGGGACCTCGTCTTGCTGATCTGCTGCATCTGAGGGTTTGAGCTACAGGCTTAGCTCACAGTCCCAGTAGCAGTTTACAGGTTAGAGGGCCATTATAGGCCGTCTCCACCACATGACGACAACGACGTTGTTGATGATGATGGCTGTGATGATTAGATACGATGATGATGGTGATGGTGATCGATTCATGATCACATCAATGCTGACAAGCACAGCCATCACTTGCGCCACTAGAGTAATCGCTGTTGTTATGATGATCGTTTCCCGTTCGTGTTTGTGCTATTGTTGCTGCAATGCTAGCCCAAACCCTACTTTCGAGAGTCTGAGCCGCTGCGGGATTTTGTCAGAGCTTGCCAGTCCAATGGATGTTTACGTGGTTCTTGTTTTGGGCTTGAGCCGGGTTGCTTCTATCAAAACGATGGGTTCCTTTTTCGGTACAGCGCCATCTAGGGTTTCATTTTTGGGTTCAGTGTTTTTTCTGAAAACTTCCAGAGCGGAGTCCAGGGGGGCTCTCGCATCAGCTCCGAAGGCAGCGTTTGTGGTTCCTGGTCCTAGCCCCTCACAAAAGAAGGATGCTCTACTCTCCCGGCTTTCGAGTTTTTTTCTAGACTGCAAGCCGGCGGTTTCTGTGTTGAAAGCGTCAGATTGCGCATGCGCGCGGGAAGAACCCCAAAAGGACCTTGCAAGTGAGATGGGAATGGATGCCTTGAAGTTGGGAAGCACCGCAAGGGCAAAGTACCCGAGCCCGGCAGGTGTTGACATCACTGTGCATGACAGCTCAAGGAGAATGGAGCATGGAGATGGATCTGAAGGTGCCGGAAGTTCAGGAGCAGTAGGACTAGTGACTAGAGGCTTGGTTTCAAAGATCTTCGAAGGTCTCTGCTCCCATGGTCTGTCTGAAGATATTGGATCTGTTCCTCCGAAACAAAAGACACGAGCTTGTTGCCGTAGCTGCTTAACGTCCGACGTACGCCATGCCCGCCGTTCCAAAGCCGGAGTGGCGCCTGCCTGGCATGTTGAGAGGAGTTGCTCAGGGGTCTTTTCACAAGTGTGAGTTTTTTTTTGAATTTGCCGTGTCTGCTCAGCGTCATCGTCAGCAACGGTGGCATCATCTTTATCGTCACCATCAACACCGCCACGCTTCAATCATTATCGTCATCATCGCCATCTTTGCTAGCAGCGGCAGTCGCAGCGGCAGTGGCCGCAGCAGAAGCAACACCGCCGGACCGCCGCCACCATCTCCTTCGCCTCCGCCGCCACCCGACAACACCACTCCTGCATCATCATCATCATCATCATCATCATCACCATCATCATCATCAGCAGCAGCATCCGCATCACCATCATCATCGTCATCATCATCAACAACATCATCATCATCATCTTCATCATATTCATCATCGTCTTCTTTATCCTCATCATCACCAGCATCATCATCACCCTCACCCTCACCGTGATCATCATCATCGTCATCATCCGCCTCATCCTCATCATCCTCATCATCATCCTCATCAGGCGATAGTTGGCAACTACAGTATCTTTGTTGGTGTGTGTGTGTGTGATTGTGTGTATGTATGATGTAAACTTATGCATACATACATACATACATACATACATACATACATATGTATATATATATATATATTCACATATGTATATGATTATTTATTTGTTTATTTAATATTTGTGTAATTGTTTATTTATTTAGTTATAAATTTATATATGTATGTGTGTGTATATATATATATCAGTTCACGGTCATCTTCATCATCACGGTTACTAGCATGGGCATACTCGTCACCATCTTCACCACCACAATCTTCTTCCTCCTCGTAGTCATGATATCTTGATGGTCGCCATCTGCTACTGGTCATACTCCGTTTCATATCTGCTGTAGGACGTCAGGAATCACGGAGAACGACCAAACATTAACAAGGACAAACACTTCAGCATTCCCACCGCTCTGCTCCTCCTCCTCCGGCCTCCTGTCCCTCGTGCCGCAATTCCTCCTCCTCCCCCTCCTCCTCCTCCTACTACTACTACTACTACTACACGACGACGACGACTACTACTACTACTACGACGACGACGATGACCACCACGGCGAGTACTGCAACTGTTGCTACGACTGCAACTAGACGACTCAATGTATACGCTAGCCGTAGCAATGCCAGGCACGTGGTAGTGGTGCATACGCACAACCTGCAGCAGCAAAGACTGTTATGGCACACCTGCGCAGCCCCAACATGCCTCTCACCACTTGTGGTCACAATGTAGCAGCGGGCAGCGGGGTTCGGGTTCAGTGAAGTTCTCTCAGCTTCACTCCATGTTGCAACGCTCCGGCAGGCAGGCTGCTCATTCTGGACGACGAGCATCTGCCTCAGACAGCATGACAACTCTTCAGACTGGCTTTAGCCTGAAGATCACATAGGTGCCGCGTTTGGCGTGAAGTCACCTCCAAGTGGCTCCGGTTGGAGGACATAATGGGGTTCCGCTTGCAGAGAGGAGGTCGAGCAGACCGAAATGGGAGAGTGGCTTAACTACTATGATACTTTGCAGCTGCCGTCCACGAACACCATGTCAGCAGTCTGCACCACTTTCCTTCCCGCCCAACAAAACCCCCTGCACCTGGCGCCAATGCTGCAAAACCAACAGCCCTGAACTCCAAGTCCCAGCCTGAAGTCGCCTACATCAATGCCTGAACCACTACCCCGAAACCCAAACAAAGACCTAAGTCAACCCTAAGCCCAAGTCCTTGAAGCGGAGAGGTTCCCAAACCAACCAGAAACCCCAAGAGCTTTTCAATCCTCCGGGGCTGAAAATAAAGTTTAGGGTTACTGTGTTGCGGGTTACCTGAAACTTCGATGTTCGAGTTTAGAGGGTCTGGAAGGATGTTTTGTGAGGGTCGAGGTGCATTTAGGGGTTAGGCTTCAGAGCCACTATGATTTAGAGTTATTGGTAGTGACTTGTAGTTGTTGCCAACCTTGTTAAGCCCGAAGGCCTGAAGCCCAAGCCCTGAGTTTGAACGAACCCTGAGCCCCCAAAAT